CCAAACACAGCCATGGCATTGCGTTGTCTCTCGCAAACCACAAAGAGTTCTAGCACGAGCGATCGGATACGCGAGCAGGCCGGAGCTTCACTGGCGCGCCAGGAGCCGTCTCGTCGTAGCTTCGCACAACAAGGAAGCCTCTGGTGTGCTACGGCTGTGGGACGTGCCGCTGGATATCAAGGCTGAAGGCGAGGATAAGAGCCGCGTCAGGCCGTTCCAGACTGAATATCTCCCAACTTCCCTGACCGGCATCTCTTTCAACCCCACAAATACATCGCAGCTGCTGGTCGTTGCGGGTTCCCAAGCAGCTCGAATCTACGATTATGCTGCGGCCTCCCTGCCACCGGATGATCAGTCCATCGGCCCATTCCCAACCAAAGGTTCATGGGTTCTATCCCTGTATCAGCCCTTTGCCCGACCCACGGCCACACGAAAACCGATTCTGGATGCAGCCTGGATATCGCACGGCCGCGCAGTGTTCGCTCTCCTGGCCGATGGCTCCTGGGGCATCTGGGATATTGAGGGCGCCAGCCCACTGGGCTCAACACTCCTGGGCAAGCAGAGCTCGGGCATCCAAGGTGCGGCGCTGACTGCCTTCAGCGTATTTGGGCAGATCGAGGGCACGAGTCCGCTTCGCAACGCGGTCAACGGCGCAAGATCCAGTGGCGATTTCGTCCCGTTGACACCACATAGCCGGCGCGACGCTGCCGCGTCACTCAATGCCGTCACAACCCCCGAAAAGCTCGCCAGTATCAAGGGCGGCGTGACGGTGACACCACTACCGACTAGAGGCTCGCAGTCGGGTGACGAGAGCGTCGTGGTCTGGATCGGAGGACACGACAACGTCTCCGTCATCCCTGCCGTTTCTCGATTCTGGGACGCGCAGCTGCGAAGGAGCTCCGGCGGAGGAGTGAACCTGTTCAGCGGCACGACACCTACGCGGATGGTCCGACTCCAAGACCTGGCGACTGGACTTCTAGGCGAGCGCTGCTGCGGCGTGAGTGCCGCCGTCGACTTTGAGAAGCTGCATGAAAATGACGGCGGTCTGCGAATCGAAGTGCTCATCCAAGGCGAGAGCCGTCTGGTCATCGTTCGAGAGTCTGAGGAGGGCGTGGGCACCAAGGTCTGCGCGGCATCGTTTCGACGAGTCGACCGCCTCTTTGGCGACAGGGGCAAG